CTGTTTATTTATGACAAATACTCCACAACCGCGATTCTCTCCAGTCAAAAGTTCTTTGACATGATGCCATCGGCCTTGGCCAATTGGAGAATGGAATCATCTGACTCACCCATCCTACGTATGGCCCCGCAGGTAGCTTAAATTTTAAACTGGCTGTTAAACCTGCCTGTGACCTTGTCAACTTCCGCCACATTCATCTGGATGGATGGTGGTCCCTGGCACTGATGATGCGGTTGCTAGTGGAGCATTTCCACGGCACACGCACGTACAGGTCCACGAACTCTGTGGCCTTGTTCTGCATCTCGAGGCCACACCTCCTGCCACCCAGGCCGCACGGGTGAAAAAGGAAGCCACGTGTCACCTGGTAGAGAAATCGGCAGCAAGGCGCGGGGCCTCGGCAAGTGCTTCCGGGTCACACCCACAACTCTTAAGATGTGTATTAGCCAAAAATTTTTGCCTAAATTCAGCAAACCTTTTCATTTAATTTCCAGTTTGAAGTAAAGACGGGGACTAGAGGTACAACTGCAATGATGCTATAAAGAAGGAAACAAAAAATCGAGAATATGTGGCATTCAACAGGGCAGGCAACTGATTGAGCTCTTCATCAAGTCTGGTATCATAATAAAAAGATACTAGATTAAATGAGATCCAAGAGAGCCAACATATCCACTAAATGTGATGCATGGGCCAGGACTGGATCCTGATTTGGGTCATTTTAGAGTCATTTGAGGACAATTAGAGAAACTAGAAAGTGGGAGATAAGATAAAGATAAGATAAAGATTTATTGGTACAAAAAGGTAGCTAGTATAAACTTTAAAAATGTTGCAAATAGCATAGTCCGTTTTGGTAAAAGTGCATGCACACACATATATCTGGAAATATTAAGAGCATTAATTTTGGGAAGGTCAGTATATAAGGTTTTCTTTTTTGTTTATACTTTTTCTAACATGAGTATATGTTGATTTTGTAATAATTTTTGCTTTTTTTTAACTTTTAGTTTCAGGGTACATGTGCAGATTGACTCTATAGATAAATTGTGTGTTGTAGAGATTTGGTATTATTTCATCACTCAGGTAGTAACCATAGTATCTAACAGGTAGGTTTTTGATCCTCACCCTCCTTCCACCCTCCACCCTTAAGTAGGTGCTGGTGACTATTGTTCCCTTCTTTATGCCCATGTGTATTCAATATTTAGTTCCCACCTAAAAGTGAGAACATGCAGTGTTTGATTTTCTTTTCCTGCGTTAGTTTGCTTAGGATAAGGTCAAAGGTGCACGATCTTGTTCTTTTTTTATGGCTGCATAGCCTTCCATGATGTATATGTACCACATTTTCTTTATCCAGCCTACCATTAATGAGCATCTAGACTAACCCTATGTCTCTGCTATTGTGAATAGTGCTGCAGTGAACATATGTGTGCATGTGTCTTTATGGTAGAACAATTTATATTCCTTTGGGTATATATTCGGATTGCTGGGTTGAATGGTAGGTCTGCCTTAAGTTCTTTGAGAAATTGTCACACTGCTTTCCACAGTGGTTAACCTAATTTACACATTCCCACCAGCAGTGTATAAGCAATCCCTTTTCTTTGCAGCCTCATCAGCATCTGTTATTTTTTGACTTTTTGGTAATAGCCATTCTAACTGGTGTGACATGGTATCTCATTGTGGTTTTGATTAGCATTTCTCTGATGATTAGTGTTGCTGGACATTTTTTTCATATGCTTTTTGGCCATCAGACAATTTCTAATTTAAAAAAGACCCAATTCTAAAACAAGGCACAAATGGGTAAAATAAAAATACATGGGGGAAATTGGTAGGCGTCATCAGCAGAACTGAGTCTCCCTGATGCTGCTGATGCTCCCTGTCATCTAGCCATGGTGTTAGGTGTGAAAACACACATACACAAACACACACAAACACAAACATACACACACAGTCAGAATGGGGTCCCATTTTGAAAATAGTGAGGTCAGTTCTGTCCACCCTGCCACTCAGTGTGTGTGTGTTCCCTGCTGGAATTCTCCATCTAAGGCACAGAAACTCCTAGATGATCCACAGATCCTGAAGTCAGAGATCAAATTTATACCAGAATAGCAAGGAATACATTCGAAAACAGTTAAGAACCACTGCCCTAAAATGTTAGCTCTGTTGCTTCTAAAAAATCTTTTGTCTGGGCACAATGGCTCACACCTGTCTTCCCAGCACTTTGGGAGGCTGAGGTGGGTGTATCACGAGGTCAAGAGATTGAGACCATCTTGGCCAACAAGGAGAAATCCCGTCTCTGTTAAAAATACAAAAATTAGCTGGGTGTGGTGGTGCATGCCTGTAGTCTCAGCTACTTAGGAGGCTGAGGCAGAAGACTCGCTTGAACCCTGGAGGTGGAGGTTGCAGCGAGCTGAGATTGCGCCACTGCACTCCAGCCTGGCAACAGAGCGAGACTCTGTCTCAAAAAAGAAAAAAAAAAAAAGCTTTCAATTTCAAAAGATCTATGGGAAGAAAAAATGGGTTGTTAGATTCTGTATTTGGAAGGATTTCTCTGCTCCAATGTTAAGCCATCATTTTCTCCAGCTCCTGGAGGCATGGGGAGGGCAGAATAGATAAGTTCTCAAATTCAGAAAAATAAATTTCTTACTAGCCCCATAGAGCCCCCAAACATTGCCACGAGCTGGGACACATAAGGGAGTAACAGTGCTTCAAGTTCCCACCTCAAAATACACTGGGACTTTCCCCCACTGTCTAGTCTCAGCCCTCAGCATTTCTCAAAGAATCAGAGTGAACTAGCAAGCCCTGATTTGAAGGGATATGCCAGCTACCCAGACAGCAAGATGCCAGAAATGTAGCAAAGCGCATGGAAAGAATAAGCAAATTTGGGGGTAGGTGAGGGAAAGCACTCTTGCTTATCTTTGGAAGTTTCAGTTCTGAGGACTAATTTCAGAGTAGCAGGATGAAATCTCTGAAATGCCAGGAGTTCAGTAAATAAACTACTAAAGACAACGAATGCCATACGTCTCTTGTTACAAATGCATTCTGAGCCTGGCGCAGTGGCTGACACCTGTAATTCCAGCACTATGGGAGGCTGAGGCAGGTGGATCACCTGAGGTCAGGGGTTCGAGACCAGCCTGGCCAAAATGGTGAAACCCCATCTCTACTAAAAAAAAAAAAAAAAAAAAAAATTAGCCGGCAGTAGTGGCGTACGCCTATAGTCCCAGCCACTCAGGAGGTGGAGGTAGGACAATCGCTTGAACCTTGTAGGTGGAGGTTGCAGAGCCGAGATCATGCCATTGCACTCCAGCCTGGGAAACAAGAGGAAAACTCTATCTCAAAAAACATACAAAAAAAAAAATCAACAACAAAAACATGCATTCTGAGGCACCTTGATCAATAGACTAGATAGCAAAAGGAAAAGGCAGTCTGAGCTGCTGTCTGTAATGAACAGCTGTTTTGTTAAAACCAACTTTGGTCAGACTCCTTGCAATGTAGTCTTTTTTAAAGAAATTGCCTGTTATGCTGAAACAGTCACAGATGGACTAAACTTGCACCCACCCCAAAATCGAGTTCAAAGACTTATTACTTTGTTTGAAGCAGGTGCTTGCATCTTAGCTCCAGCTGCAAGAAGTATCCTCTCTCAGCAGGACAGGTTGGGCAGCATGCCTGGCAAGGGCAGCAGAGTGTATCATGAAGGGTGGATCCAGTTCCTGTAGAGTTTGGGGAGGGCTACGCCAGAAGAGGAAGCTCAGCACTGATTAGAGCATGACAGCCATACTATTGCGAATTCAGAAGAGTTTTAACAAGTCCGCAGGTAGTACTTATCGGAATACGCATGTAAATTAGAAAGTCCCTAAAGTTATAAGTTGTGTTTTACAGGGTAATACTCATATTCCTATGCAAAATTTCCTTACTGTAATGGCTGGGAACTCTTTGATTCCTCAGTTTTATAGAGTCCTGGTAAACAGAAAATAATTTGGTTGTCATGGTCTCAAAATAGTCTGAGGAAGCAAGGTAAGAAACAAAGGTGAACATCTTCAACTGCCTGGCAAGCATGGCTGGGTAGGTAACAGTGGTAAATGATATTTTGAAAAACCTAAAAATAAAAGTAGAGTTTATCCCTGCTAAGTTGGAAAAGAGGAAAGATATTATCAAGGAATTTAAGAGTGGTTTTTTGTTTTGTTTTGTTTTGTTTTTTCAGATGGAGTCTTACTCTGTCTCCCAGTCTGTAGTGCTGTGGCACAATCTTGGCTCTCTGCAGCCTCGACCTCCTGGGTTCAAGCAATTCTCTTGCCTCAGCCTCCCAAGTAGCTGAGATTACAGGTGTGCACCACTACACCTGGCTAAATTTTTCTATTTTTAGTAGAGACAAGGTTTCACCATGTTGGCCAGGCTGGTCTCAAACTCCTGACCTCAAGTGATCTGTCTGCCTTGGCCTCCCAAAGTGTTGGGATTATAGTCATGGCCACTCCACCCGGCCAAGTGTTTGTTGAAAGGTGGGTAGAAGAGAATCCTAAATGTGACTGTCTAAACTGGAGCACCGAAGACACTGAGTAATTGATTTGAGAGAGAGGTAACAAAAGCATTTGAAAAGCCAGATCACAGGAATTTGGGTAGCTATTTGGGAGTTTCTGATAGTTGTGCATTCAGATGAAAACAGCCCCTTTGCTGGGTCACCTTCATGCTGACCAGGAGGTGGGAAAACTCAACCCAGAAAGGAGATGCAGGGATTGGCAGGTAGAAGCTCAGGGCTGGGGAACTGTTCTTCTTCCGAAGCTCCAGTTACTCTGACAGGGCGCTGGGTGCAGAGCCACACAGCTGTGGTGGTTGTTGGACCCTGATTCCTTAACTTCCCACAGGCCTCATAGGAAGACCTCTCCGGGCCTTGCTTCTTTGCTACAGTGCATGCTGGAGACTTCTCCAAGCTTCCTCTGTAGCATTTACACAGAGCTCATGAGACCCTAGGGGAAGCTTCTCTGCTGACATTTCAGAAATTCAAGCCACATACGTACCTCATCTCCATGCATATTCGCCACATATTTGAACTCCGGAATCCCAATTCTGTGTTCCTTTGGAGACCGCCCCACAACAAGAACCCACAGGTTTCTACCTTTACAGGAAAGAAAAGAAGGAAAAATAAATTGTCTCTTTAAATGACAAATGAATTCTGGGAGAATAAGAACAGGACTGGACTGTTTCACGGTGACTTAAGTTTTTATGACCAACATCTCTGTGCTTAACATACTCTTCATTTACTGCCAGAATTTATGGAAACCGCTTCAATTGAGCACAAATATTTCACTTATTATTTTATAATGTGATTTTTAAAAGCTGAAGACTTATTAGGCGATGCAGATCTTATTTTTCTAAAATGTGTATATACTACGCTCTGAGATCCTGGAGGCTCCTAGGATCTGCTAATTCACACAATTATACAAAGTTAAATTACAGTCGCTGGTTGACTGGGATGGTGTCATAACTTGATATACAAGGAAAGAGAAAAAACAACAGCAATGAAAGTAACTCAAAAGTGAGATGGTTTTTAGTGTAGGAGATCCTGAATTCTGTATTTAAATGCTGATGTGACACAGCCCCTTGCTAGCATCCTCAATATGTGTGAGTCCCGTCAGGTAAAGTGGGAACCACGACCCAAAGAAAGTATCTAAGTCTTAGCTCTGTATGATTTTGGCAAAAAAGGGCAGAGAGGAAAGCTCACTGAGGATTTGTTTTGTGCAGATATTACCTGTGCTGCTCTGGCTCAGGTAATCTCAAGTAACCCCTTGTCATGACCCACTGAGATGGATTACTAACAAAACTTTACAAAAGAAAAAAAAACCGATCTTCAAAAATATTAAGGGCTTATGGTCACACCGCCAATTAGAGGCAATGATTTGAGCCCCTGAGCCAAGAACTGAACTCTGGTTTATTTGACTTCAATTCTAGTGCTCCTCCCCCTAACAAAAAACTGCTTGTCTCCTAAGAGGCTTGGCTTCCTAACCAGTAAAAATGAAGAAGTCACTTTCAATTTTAAAATTGTCTGGCACTTTTAATATACTTACATTAGAGATGTGGGAATGTTTGCTATCCATCATGTATGTACAAAGTTTAAATATCTGTAACAATTTAGCCTCTGGGGAATTTAAGAGCCCAGGAGAGGAACTTAACGGCAACCAATGGGCTAATGTTAAGCAGGTTCTGCAGAATTTCAGATCTAGCTCCTCAAATCAGTAGTCCCACGGACTGGGGAGCATGCAGTTGCCATCAGGGACTCAGGGAAAACCAGATACTGGACTTGTTATTTTCAACATTTATTTATAATTTATTATAACAATATTGTATGGAAATTTGTCATGATAAGGTGATACTTTAAATTTTGTAACTCCAGGACTTCTCAGAAAACACCCACAAAATGTAGTTTATATGATTTATGTCCCTTGTTCAGTGCAGAATTCTTATTCATATAACTATTTGATGAATATTATATCTAGGCATTGAACCTGGATTAGGCTGCACAAATAAGCCACATGCTCTATGCCCAATGAATTTCTGATCTATCAGAGAATAGCAACACACAAACATATACTAGAGTGTGACATATCATAGATGTGTGTGCAGTGAACTGTGTGTATATAGAATAAAAAAAATGGTTAATTTTTTTCAAGGAGGGGCTGATGAAAAGCTTTATGGATGTAGGGTTGTACAGATGATGCCTCTACACGTGATTCTGAGTTTGTTGTGTGGACAAGCCTACTCCATCTGGTGATTCCCCATCAGAAGCATTTGATTAACCAGAACCTTCCATTCCCCAACACTGTCAAGTCTTCGTTGTCTGGAGCTTTACTTCTACAAAGTTACCATTTTCATATGAAACAAGGAACTTTGCATGACTGAGCTATTATACCTGGCTTTTAAAGGTTTGTTTCTGAGGAATTCTTCTATGTTAACTATTTGTACAGAATATGGTCTAGTCCTTTTACAAACAAGGAAAAAATTCAGTATCATCTCAACATAATATTTAGCAATAGTTATTTATAAGCATGCATCAGCAACAGCTGGCCTGTTACGTAAAAAATAATGTAAGATGACAAAAGCCTGACTTGATATGGATATCCAGTATTATTTAGTTTAAGGAAGGAGGGAAATCACACTGATAAAATCTAAGTGAAGAAGTCCTTTGATGTGTAACTCAATCTAAATTTTAGCAGAGTGGCCGCTAAGTGAACTGCAAGATGAGAATCTTACCTTAAACAACCTCAATGACACAGTCTGAGAATGAAAATCAACCAACAGATGTGAAGAAAACTATTCTTTGGAATGACAGGCCTCTAGAAGGGTTTTAACTGCCCTCTCCAACTTACTGGCTGTCTCTGGCCTAGACCAGAGTAAATACACAAAGGACGAACTATTTACTTTTCACAACCTGACTGTCAAGGTAAGTAAAAGTAATCTAAACAAGGTTTTATTTTTGTTGTAAATCAAGGTTAAAAAGACTACCTTTATTCCCAAAAGTTCCTGCTGTAACAGGTGTGCTAAAGAGTTCTGAAGTACTCAGCCTTTCTCTCTCCACTGCAAAGGAAATGAAGTTTGGATTCCGGATACTTGAGCATCTCTATTCAGGAGATCACGCAGGGTTTAACACAAATCCTGGGGCTATGACATGGGTGTGCAACTAGGCTTGCTTGAAGGATCAGGAAAAGTTTTACAATTTAGAAGTGTTTGCTAAGATCTCTAAGACAAGAAAGCAGACAAGTGCTACGAGTACTACAGAAGTTCAGGAGAAAGTAGAAGGAGAAGCCTGGAAAATTAAGCATAGCTTCAATAGGCAGAAATGGGCGAGGTATCTTTCCCACATCACAGACACCTGGGATCCTTGTAAAAATGCCAATTCCTGAGCCCCAGCCTCAATCAAACTCTTGAAGTAAAGCCTGAAACTGGCATTTAACAAGTACCTTTGTGATTGGGAGCCTCATTAAAGTTTGAAAGTTGCTGAGACTGAGGTAGGAAGATATCCAGACAGATTTGAGAGGTAGTTGATATTTAGGTACAACCATTTCATTTTATATATAATGTGAACATGTTTCTATGTTAAGAAATATACTTCTAATCTATCTCTTTTTTTTATTTGAAACAGAGTCTCACTCTGTCACCAGGCTGGAGTGCAGGGCACGATCTCGGCTCACTGCAACCTCCACCTCCTGGGTTTTTGCAATTCTTCTGCCTCAGCCTCCCGAGTAGCTAGGATTACAGGCGCCTGCCACCACTCCCAGCTAATTTTTTGTATTTTTAGTAGAGAGGGCTTCACCATGTTGGCTAGAATGGTCTCAATCTCTTGACCTCATGATCTGCCCACTTCAGCCTGCCAAAGTGCTGGGATTAAAGTGTGAGCCACTGCATCCAGCCCTAATCCATCTTTGTCAATGGCTAATTCATATTTTATTATGTGAATGCACTACCATTTACTCAACCAATTCTCTATTGGTTGTCTCTATTTAGTGTACAATAAGTAATTTTATGTAAATTATAGCATGTTTACTAAAATTACATACAGAATTTATAACATTAAAATATTTTGTAATGTGGAAAAAGAATGCAAAATTATATAATTACAACTATGTGAAACAGACTTCCTATTAAAAACCTCCTATAGCTTTGTAGCATATAAAGCCTAAATTAAATAATAGATAAAGCCAGGCATGGTGGCTCATGCCTGTAATCCCAGTGCTTTGGGATGCTGAGATGGGAGGATCACTTGAGGCCACGAGTTTGAGACCAGCCTGAGCAACATAGTGTGATGCCATCTCTACAAAAACTTTAAAAATTAACTGGGTGTGGTGGCATGTGTCTGTAATCCTAACTACTCAGGTGGCTGAGGTGGAAGGATCCCTTGATCCCAGGAGGTGGAGATTACAGTGAACTATGATTGTGCCACTGCACCCAAGCCTGGGAGATAGAACGAGACTGATTACTTACAAAATTATTAACAATACAAATGCATCCCTACAGGATTGAATATGGCACACTGTCAGGGATAACAGCCTAAATGACAGGATGATAAAGTTGAGTAATTATTTTCATCTTTCCAGTTTTTTAAATTAAAGAAATACCAAACCCTATCATTCATTAAGTGCAGATGCTACGAGCCAGGCACTCTGCTAAGCATTTTACATTATTTGATCTTCACAACACATGTGAGGTGTGTGATAGCCACAATGTATATTTGAGGAAACTTAAGTGACTGAAGCAGTGTTCAAATCCAGTCTGTCTGACTTCAAAATCTGTGCTCTTCTGAGGACCTAGGGCTGCCTCAATGTTCCTGAAAGTACTAGACAGGCCAAAGCCAACCCCACTGTGGGGAAAAAGTTCCCAGGCAGTTCTTTCAGCATTGTGTTGCTATGGTTTGCACCTGCAGCAAGACTGGGCTTGCTTCCTGGCTATGACTTATTACAGGGCAAGACAACTAAATCTGAGGCTACCCTACCAGGACATTCCACACTGGGTGTTAATGTCACAACTCCATCAGTCTATCTCTATGTGGAGAGTCTCAATAAGAGAGACATGCCTAGGGAGAAGCAGAGATGTGGGTGGCCCCATCACTGGAGCAAAGCTGCAGTGATGTGAAGCACATTCCAGTTTTTCATGAGGCTTGTTGTGTGTTTGGTCTGATACATAAAGTTCTGGTACACAGAGTAATAGATCAGCTGGTTTCCCAGGCTTGCATGTTTCTCTGTGTATCCTTACAAGTCACCTTTGACCTAAGTCAGAGCTTGAGAGAGCTTCCTCAATGAACTGAGTTTCAGTTTCCTCTAGTAGTGGGAGTAACAGCCCTACTGGCAAGGCTGCTGTAAGGCTGCACTGTAGTGTGAGTTCCTTTTACCTTCCCTAGCAATGATCCAAAGATCTGACGTCAATTTCACATATGCACATTCCCACTATCCCCCACACACAAGAAGTTTATCACATATAGCACGCAGAGTCCACATTCAATAATGAGTGAACCCACCGAAGAGTTGAAAATCACATATGATTTAGGTCAGTTTAAACAGTCTCCAAAGTTCACACGCCTTCTGGATTTGAAGGAGAGGAAGAGGTATCTGGCTAAGTGGTTTATTT